ACCTGGAGATTTCTGATTAGAGGGCCTTGGCTCCTCCACTCAGGGTCAGACCAATTGCTGCATCTGGGATCAGGAAAGAATTTTACACTATAGTCAGACTGGCATCAAGCAGGGGGAAGAGGGGTTGCTTTCCTTTGTAGCTGAGGGAGTGAAGGGGTGGGCATGATCTTTTTCCTTGTATTGCTTCAGTGTATTTTAACAACTTTCCCTTCCAGCTCTACTTTAAAATTACAGCTCAGCACCAAAGCTTCTTCACGAGGTTTAAACAAACTTGCTTTTTCTACAGTATTTTATGCATGCTTTATTTAAAGGCTACAAATATCAGTGAACTGAATACTGTCTAATAATAAATTATTAACACACTTTACTTTTTTGGTGTCTCCTCTCCAAAGTATGTCTATGCTACGTAGGTAAAATGATAGCTGGTAAAAAAATTCTTGTGCAGACAAACCCTTATGTTTCTAGACTAAGGCACTTTGTTTCAGAAGTGATAAGAAGAATGAATCAAAACAGTTTTCCCATTTTTCCAAAATATCTTTACATCTGTTTAAGAAAAAAATTATAGTACAAACATTGGGGTCCTTTGGACAGAGAAAATGCTACCTTTTCATCAATTAAAAAATGTTTTCTATTTAAAGATGAACTGAGAAGCTTAAAAGAGAACAAAGTCAAACCTGTAAATAGGTGTGGAGGCTTTCACAGCCTTTAAAGATAAGTTTTAAGCCATATTTTTACAAATCCACCATACCATTCCTGACACTTACAACAGCAATTTTGAGACAGCTGAGATGCATAAGGTCTGAACCAAGATAAAATAGAAGAAGGAATTTTCCATCCTTCAAATACAGCATAAACTCAATTTTACACGCCCAGGTATTAACGAGATGGGACAGACAGGGAAGACCACTAATTCCTAACTCAGGAATGACAAAAATATAGCTTGTGGAGCCGTATTATTCAGTCCGTGGGTCTCAGAGTGACCCCGTGCACTGCATATATTGTGCAGAGCTGGTCTGGTGCACAAGCTGCAGTGCATAGGGTCAGCATGGAGCATATAATGCATGCTACACCTTTCTGGACTGGCTGTGTGCATTGGCTCCAGGGCCCATCTGGGTTGGGTCCATGGGCTGGCCCCATACCAGAACCAGTGTGGGGCTGGGCTGGGGCGACACATGCTGCACGCAGTACACAGGGCCGGACTAAGGCACATACTGCACAAGGTGCCTGCAGTGGATCAGCCCCGTGTGCTGGCTCCAGTATTTGGGGCCAATTTGTGGGTCCAATCTAGTTCACAAATCGGCCCTCTGACCCTCATCTGGCCCATGGGGACACCCCATTTACACTTTGTACCCTGGCTCTTCAAATCTATCAAGTGCCTGGCACCTCCTCATTTCAGAGCATTTCAAGCCATGCTCGTTTTATAATTCTGCTAATACACTGTGCTACAACCAGTCTGGTCAAGTACAAGAGGTTCATTAGAGGGAACAGCTGCCTTTGGAACAGAATGGTCTCAAATGTAGAAATTTATTTCCTGAAAATTAAACCTGATATCATTTATCAGGTATGAGTCATGCTAGAGACGTAACTAGGATACAAGTGAAAGCAGGGCATACACCAAACCAGCCAAGGTTGAGTTTAAGGTTCAGCATGGCTGTAAGGAACCAAGTGTGCGCTCTGCGGATGGCAGTAGGTTTGAGCCAAGATGGAGTTTGCGGTGGAGCCTGACAGCATGTCTGGATACAAGGCTGCTTGTGTGGCAAGACATAGGAGCTCATGTACATGGAACGTCACCTGGCAATTTCCCGAGTTTTGGTGATTGCATTCATAGTCAATGCACTTGAACAAACTTCCTATTGATTTTAAAAATCACAGGTTTGAGGTGTGGATGGCTACCAGGAAGGGAAAGAGTTGAGCACGACAAACTTCATACACATTCCAATTCTATCCATCATAATGATGACAACTCTCATACTGTAACCATTACATGTAGTGCTAGAGATTATTTCTTGGACTGTAACATTGTTATAGAATATTCAGAAGCATTTAAAAATGTCAGTTAACTTGTTCCTGATGTAGGGTAAGCACTCAAGTATTTCCAAAGTGTAACCTGTTTGTCTTAATGGGTTTATGAAATTTCAGAACAGCATCTTTATCTAAATACATATATACATAATCCGCATAGTTTAGAGCTCTCCCAATTGTTGGGAAATTAAAGAACACATACAGCAGTAATGCTTACCTCAAGGATTGCAAATTTGTTTAATCCCAGACTTCAAGTAAATTGATCTTTACATTTTTTTAATGTTGTGCCTCAAAACCTTGCAGGTTGCCTGACATAAGATGATGTGGTATGTAACATTAATAAAAAGCAATAAAAAGAAAATAAAAATCTTTTAATGCAGTTAGATGTAATTAATCCTCCACACATTTTTAATGGGAAATCTAAAAGATCAAGCTATTTCCTCAGGTGAAGCAGCGATTCTTGAAAAAGTCTCTGTTTTTACAGAGTAGGCAAAAATACCTAGCAATTTTATCAATTTCAACTTGACATGATTTATATTTCACAGCATGAATAAATGAAATAAGTAACCTTCTCCATGCAAATGCTACTTAAGCTACCTATTTGGAAGCAGATATCACCATGATACCCAAGAAGTTCTCTGGTGCATTAGATACAGACATCAACATCCAACTGCCCCACTGTGATCTTCATTGAAAGAGGTTGGTCTTGGGATATATGCCTACTGGTGGTTAATTTTTATTCCTCCATTCCCCTTCACTGCGGTTATGGTGGAAAAGTGTATTCAGTAAACAAACAGTCAGTCAAAAATCTTGGGGTAGAGGCAATATCTTTTATTAAACCAACTAAATTAGTAGCAAAACAATGTCTTTCTTTGCAAGTTTTCAGGCCCAAATGCCCTTCCTCAGGCACAGGAGAATTCAAAGACTGTAAAAAGTTCTCTCTGGTACAAATGAAACTTCATATTGCACAGGGAAGGGAAAAGATAGTAGGGTTCCTCTGGGTATAAGAGTCCTTTTTAAAAAAGATTGCTATTTAGTTGGTCTAATAAAAGATACCGCCTCTACCCCAAGATTGTCTGCCTATGCTTTTAGACCAACGTGGCTAAAACCAGTGTCCCTTTCATAAACAGTGAAACTGAAGATTATCCAGACTGGTTGATAAATTCAGACCATAGCCAAATGCTCTGGTTTAAGAATGTGTCGTCCCTGGCGTTTTGTCCGAGGCTCTGTAAACCTTGAGTAGCGTGACTCTGTTAAGGGGTCATAGATGGAAGGCGGTGTAGTATGCCATTCTGTTACAATTACCCATTTATGGCCCCCTTTTTTTTTAAAGTACATTTTTAGAGCTGGCAAGAGGTAGTGTTGGAGACTACTTTGTTGCATCTCCACAATAGGAACAGTATGGTCATTATTGACGACACCTTCCCCCTGCCTGTCCTGACAACACACTTTGCCCTGAATTGGGAGGACCACTGCTGATTCAGTTTCCACAAACAACTGAAGTCCTTCAATTAACTGTAGAAAGTGGCAAAAAGGGTAGTTATTAGTCCCCGGAGCGATTATGGGTTTTGAAATGTACTCACTAGTCATCTGGAAGTTGAAGCAAAAAAGCCACCAGCACGTTACACACACACACACACAAAAGCAGGAATAAGTGACCTGACTGGATTTGAACTGACAACCAAGATACCTTACCATGCAGTCAGTCCCCTGAACCACCCTCCTCTCCCTCTTTGTGCCATGCTCTATTTGTGGTGCTTAAAATTTTTATTCTCCAATATACACTATGCATTTAAAAATATATATATTAAAAAAAAAAAAAAGTGACAGCCTCCATTCTCTCCTCCCCCAAACATTTTTCATGTTCATCCTTCATTTAATCCATCCCCATAGAGAGGCAAATCTTGCAGCAATGGAAGCAGTGTGTAATAGCATGTGGCTGGCTGATGAATTCAGAAGTAAGGCTAGGAATGGGATATGTTGAATGAAAGAAGAATTGCATTCAGTCCTGGAACAGGCCAATTGTCCCGTTTCTATTATTAAAAGCAAAGACAGACATAGGATGAAGTGGACCATTTATCTTCTAAAAGCAAAAAGACACTCCCAGACTAAAATAAGACTCTTCTAAGGAACTTTGTCATCTTAGTAATAACATGCTACACACACACACTCATTCAAGAGCCCCCGCTACTATACGTTTTTGAAGATAAAGGAGGGAAATGTAACTATATGTTACCATGCTGCCATCTCTCGGTAAGAGCATAAAAGAAACAGACAAATAAAGATGGCTGAACAACAAGTGGTCTGAGCTCCCATCATCTGCCATGCCCATAAAACAGGACTTTTGTCTTGAATGTGCCAGGAGGGCAAGTTAATCTCAAGATATGTACAGCTGAGCAGTGAGAATTTGTGAGACTTCTTTCAGGTAGTAGGCTCTGTTCTTAGCTCTAACATTGTCCAAGTGTAAAAAACCATGCGTTTCAACCCACAGGAGAGTATTCAGTATACTATTCAGTACGAAAGAGGGCACTTAATATTAATTGCTTTGCCTCAGTGTAGGATCTCAGAAAAACAGTATGCAAAATGCAAAGTACTTGTTTAACATTTCCATGCAAATTGTATTTTTTTAATTCTGTGTAGCATGATGGACTGGGTGATCTTGGGCAAGTTTCTTATCCTATTTCCTCACTTGTGAAACAGGTTAGAACTAATCTTTGCAGAGGTGTGGGGTGGTCCAATTAACTGAAGTCTGTACAGTGCTTTGTCATCTTCTGATGTTATGTGAAAGAATTATTTTTAAAATAAAACAGTTTTAAGAAGCAAAAGGCATGTTACAGCTAGTTTTAGTGCTCATAGGTGTTTGTATATTCCACAAGTTGATTAAAAAACAGACTTGTGTACATTACTTTGCATCACAGTAGCAAAAAAACAAAAACAAAAGCCACTTAGAAGGAGTCGAAAATCCATCATCTAATTACCTTTTCCTTATTGTTAGGTCTGACACTGGTATGCATCTTAGGCCAGCTCCCAGTACCATGAGGAAGGATGTTAACAACACCGTTACTCTCAGACCTAGGACAAAAAAAAAAAAAGACATTATTTTACAATTTGCAAAAATAAAGCTGGAGTAATGTCAAAAATGAAGCCTGAATACATAATGCATCTGCAACCTAAAACAGTTTCTCTCTGTAAGCCATATTTTCCATAATAAATAAGATCTACCACAACACAAGGCTTTATTAATAAGCTTTACAATAAAATATCAGGCTTTCTACATTTGAGTTCCAATGCTGCAAAGAACTGTGCCTCGGTATAACACTTCGTAGTATTAGGCCCATCATTTCTAAGTATCTTCTGATGGGAAAAGTACTATGCAGTATTATTGCTATACATACTAAGATTCCTTATTATACTCAGCTGAGTATATCTGGCAATATGCTCCAACACAGGTTGAATATTAAAAAAAAAATCTCTGAACTAATATCCAGGGGAAGAAGTGGACCTCACATGTTCTTTTCTGAACAATAACTGAAATTGTGAATGCTTGTTCATTCATGCCATCTTTCCTTTGTTGTTGCTGCATTCTTTTACAAGCAGATTCACATTTCATCCTGCAGAAATGAGATTCCTTCACTGGAAGAATTGTCCTTTTTTTGTGGCATTTCTTGCCATCAAGCCAAGTTTTACTGTGTTCAGATCAAATGGTCAGACACTGTATACACAGAACATATTTTAAAAATTAAGTTACAACCGACTGATTCCTCAAAGTATTTTTCTCTTCCTATCTGGGAGTCAGGAGCAATGCGCAGCTAGATCAAAAATGAATTCATTTCAGAGCTGAAAATGTATTTACCAGTAGTTTGCTTTCTCAGTACTGATACTATGGGTCTATCACCAGCCCAGAGAAGGAAAATGGCATACACTGATCGAGTCAACACGTGAAATAAGTCAGACATCCACAAAACTGTAGAAGAGAAGGGCTGAAAAGAGACCTCTGGAGCTCATCTAGTCCAACCCCCTTCTCTGCTTGGGCAGGATCATGCCCATCTAAACCATCCTATATAAAGTCTCGTCTACCTGGGGCAGGAGGCACCTTGTTAGTAGGCCACAGATTAAGCCCTGCACCCTCCCCGAGTACCATTCTGATCGCTTTCCCCTGCCTGATCTCCTGCTCAGCTTTCTGCTCCCCTCCCATCTGCCATCAAGAACTGCCCATCAAGCCAACTACAGGCTGGTCACCCCTGGTCTAAACCTATTACTAAGGCTAGGTACAGATATACAAAGAGCCCAGGGCACAATCAATCCAATTAGGTAGTTTTGTGATAGCAGCATAGTTTAGATTGGTAGTGAACAGAACACACGTTCACCCTCTGGTGTTGTATGGCGGGCTGCAAATCTTAGACCGGGATCTGCCATTTTTAAACTAGTGTGTGCGCTGAACTTCTGTTGTATTATGGGTATAGACCAGTTTCCGATCACTTATACTGATAAAAATACAATGTCTGTACTTGGCCTAAAACTACACAAACAACCCAGTCATGCAACTGCAAGGCATGGCACCCTCACCTCTCATAGGCAAGCCAGGGGGACAACAGCAGCCAGTGTAATGCATACTCAAGAAATCAAAGGAAAAGAGCCAGTGAGAAAAATATTATACATTCCATATCTACGACTTGAGACCTACAACTTGAACTCAAGTTCTAACAAAAAGAGGTGCTTGTTCATTTTTGATGACTATTGTTAGTTACACTTCTCACGCACTTCAAATGAAATCTATTCATTTTTAAATATCCAAAATAAACATATTGCACACCTGATGTTCTTTGAAGATCTCACAAAAAGCATACGGACGTGCATACATTTGGAGCATTTCAATACGGGAACACTTCCAAAGGGAAGCTGCTGACTGGGAACATCCCATCAGTTCCATGTGGACCGGCCAGGAGAGAGGCACAAATATAGCAAAATGGCTTCCACTTTAACCCTGGATGAAGCAGTATTAAAAACCTGGAGCTGTTTTGTTACAGCTGTATTGTTTCCAGTTTGTCTGAGCATAATGGTTAGAAAGTAACAGCTGCTCCAGAGTTTGGATCAAAAAGTCCCCCTTTTGCCTTTTGAAGCTATTTCAAATGTCTGCGTGGCCATAAACAAAGGCTGGCAGTAAGATTAAGGTACTCTTCCAGGTTTCCTCCATCCCTGCTTCATAACCATCACTTCTAAAAGCAAGGCTTGAGCCCCAAAGAGAAGAAGTGCATGCGTTTTCCTGGGCTTTTGAAGTAGGAACTTTCTACTGAATGGTCAATGGGCATTTGCCAAGAGAAGGTTAAAAGCTTGAACAAATCCAGAATCTTTGTTTATTTCAAGGACCTCCACTGGCTGCCAAAGATACCAATTTGATTGACCATTTAACCACCACGTGTCACAGAGAAAGTGGGTTTTTCAGTGCCAGTGTCTGAAGGGCACTTACTATTGTATCTGACAGTGCTAGTGCTAGCATTTCTATGCTTGACCTTTAAATGTCCTCTCTCAGTAAATATTTGTACCCCGTTTATATTTCTAGTACCTATAAGCCAACCACAAAGTAGCTACACCACAATGTATTTTTAAAAAAAATCCCAAACACACTGCTATTGATTGTTTATATTATGAAACACATGCGATTCAATTTGGTTTCCCTTTCTCTGAAGTGGTAGTAGGATTAAAAATAAGCGAGACCAACTTCTGCATTCTTTAGCTCATGGCTTTCATTTGTGGGAAAACTAAAGAAAAGGATTATCCACATAGAGCTCATTTTCACCACTATCCCACATTAGTTATTCTCCAGTTGTTCCATGGAATTGTTCAACTGTTCGGTGGACATTCAAATGGGTGCCCCACGCTTCCTTTCTCTGCAGAGACTGCGATCTCTTGTTGGATGTCCATCTCCCCAAAAGTTGGAGTTGCTTCACCGGGAAAGGGGAGAACGTCCATCATGGGAATCTCATGGTGCATACTGGGAGATGTAGTCCAGCAGGGAAACCCAGCCCTCAAAGAAGAACATAGGATTGACCAACTACATCCATGAGACTGCATCAGCATTTTGAACACAAGACTGTTCGGTTTTTGAATATTCATTTTTATGATAAACTAAACCTTTCACAATGTTCAGACTTCTTAATGAAGTGTTTCATTTAGCCAAAAAAAAATCCAATTTTCCGTTCAAAAAACAGTTGCTACAGCCGAAACTTTCCATCAGTCCTATTTCTACTCTTTGCTCTGAAATAGAAGCATGACTTGGGATTTTTCTGTTGAAAAGGAGATCCATTCTTAAGACCTGCCACTAGTAAACATACACGAGTTAATAATAGGCTTAAGTTTCCTTAAAATTTTACTTGTAAATCTCTCATGCCAGGAAGTTTTAAGAGGAAAACAACAACTTAAACCCTACAAGACGAAGTAGTTGATAGCTCCAAAAACGTTGTAAAACTTTAAATCTTGAGGTTCTAAGTTGTATGCTATAGTGTGGTGCTTTTAGGTCAGTGGTTCTCAGTCTCTTTGGATTTGAAGGCACCCCTCCATAACTTCTGTGAACTGAGTGGCACCCAATTAAAAAAATTAAAATGTATACATTACAGGGCTTACTTCCTTGCAGAAGGACCAGGCAGTGAGGGTTGTGGGAATCTTTCACGCAGGGATAGGCCCAAACCTGCCTTTACTCACTTAGTTTATCTGCTTAGTTCCTTACATACCTCCAGCACCCTTCAAAGCATCTGGCAGCACCAGATGAGAATTACCGTTTTAAATGGTCTTTCTTTGACCTTCTGTTTCCTCTTAATATGCAAGTACACCTAAAAGTTCCCTTTGGTTAAAGAATAAACACAGCAAGTTTAAAACTGAGGCTCCAAAGGGAATCAGTAAGAGAATATCAGGCAAGTAGCCAATTGTAGACAATATTTTCATTGCTGACAATACACCAGGCTTCCCCATTGTTTTGGGGTGGGTTTTTTTTTTTTGTGTGTTTTTTTTTTTTTTTTTACTTCATATCTCTAATCTTTTTTCTTTTTGACGTTAGTTAATGAACTAAAGACGATAATCTCAGGAAGACTCCCCAACTGCAGTGACAGTATGCTACAGTTCGGAACAGGCTTTTCATTCTACAGCCTGCATATATTTTTGCTGTGAAATTAGAAGCTGATCTTAAATTAAAATCTGCAAAGCTTTCATTACACAACGGGTATAATCTTGAAACACACATCTGGGAACACTTTACTATTCATTTTTGTGTACGATAATAACAAACTCTGAACACTACTTGCACAAAGTTGTGGGCCTTGAAAAATACTCCTCAGACTGGGTTTTTAAAGATCCCTGTAACATATATAACCAAGAGCTTTGGCTAGAGTAATAAACTACTTAGACTGCATTTCAGTATAGGAACGTGCTGAAAACAATTTTTAAAAACAGGATCAACTGTTCAGAGTAGCTTTTGCCATAAAACTGAAAAGAAAAACAAAACCCCCACATAACAGTTCCCATTTTGATATCTTCTAAATTGTTTCCAATTAAAAAAGGTCAAAAAACAAAGCATTTGTTTGATTTGTAAGTCTTACAGATGTAGGATTGCCTATGCCTCCTCTTGCCTTTTACACTATCTTCTCAGTTACTTGTTACAATGAAAATATGGAGGGAGCTATGGAAAATGAGAGAGAGAGAGAGAGAGAGAGAGAGAGAGAGAGAGAGAGAGGGAGAGAGGGAAGGATAAATCCCTGTTCAGCCAGAACACTCATTCAAGTCAAAGCTCCCATTCATGTCAAGAAATGAAAATTTCTACTTCTATTGTGTCTTATAACAGGAAACATCTTTCTTTGTGCGCTGGCACAATTGGCTGATGTCAGCACAAATCAGCACAGACTGTTAGTGAACTATTGACAGAGTAAGCACAGAGAACAACACAATCTTATTTCAGGAAGTCACAAAAGTAGCAGTTTTTAGTTACGATAAGTGGACAGCTCCATCTCAAGAAGCAGATATTTAGAATGAAGAATATTTTCTGCCACGCTACCGGACCCAGTGGGGGGGTTTGTCTGAATGAG